GACTTCGTCACTCGAGAGCTAGCAGCGATGAAATCACAGTATGATGGATGGACTCAAGATACGCTCATGGAATTGTTTGAGAAAGAACTACCTATCTCCCCCCTTCCCGAACCAGATAGCCAAAATCTGCCCGGTATCCATGACTGTGATAGATGTCAACGACCTGTTACTATAGGCAATATACATCAAAAAGTAGATCTTGAATGGAGGCGCACACTCCGATCAATTAGAACGGGAAAAAAGAACGTGCAAATCGTCGATCATGATTCGTCACTGGCAGGAGAAATCGGCGCTACTATCATCGATCGCACTGATAAGAATACTACGGAAACAAGTTTCGGTGAGTCCTCCCCAGAATGCCTGACATCCAGAACCAGATACTGTGTTTGGCAACAATTTTTGTATATCTATTTTTCTTATGCAAAAATTGAAGTTTTGAAGTGGCCTGAGCATTTGAGTCGAGTTGATCTCAACGTTTGAATCGACTCGAATGATCGAGTTTGATTCAGTATCCTCAATTAGTCTCGATGTTCTTTTCAATTCAGATACTTTCAACTTGACGTGGATGGACATAGAACTTCATACTGATACCGAAACTATAGATCCCCTGCCCTATCGTTTGGTCTGTCCCTATGATTGTGAAGACGGAGTTTGTGCGGCATGGGAATATGAGGGTTTTGAGCCGCCAAATTTCCCACCGTACATCCCAAAAGAGGAAAGAGACCGTCTCAGACAATTACGCTTAGCCGAGGAGGAAGCGAAATGTCCTACTTATACTATGCCCGGGGCTTTTAGTGTTCAGTGATATGACCTGCAGTCTAAGCTAGGGATTTATGGATAGCGGATCTCTTTTCAACCTGAAATTTGTTGAATATAGATTGTTATAAAAATATCTGAAGAGAATGTGGAAGCCAACTCACATACTTAGTCGATACGAAAGTGTTTACCCGAGGGAGCTCACTATACTCATCACTGGCGGGGCAGCGAATGCCGGTTGCCATGCAAATTGATGCTGTGGGTTTGACCTGGTCCTCCAGATCAAGTGAGAAGTGTGGCGATTACCGTATTACAACATAGAGAAGCTGCCTTGTGTTGTTCACTGGCACCTTCATGGCCAATTTTAGTATCAATGTCGAATCGGGGATATGAGGTCGAGATCGAGGTCGAAGTTCATCTAATTTATAGATAGCTTCATTTAATACGAGGGATATATAGAGATATAAGAATGTATTGAATGGCTGATCGGAAGCTACAATGGGGATTTGAAGAAAAGTTTTGGGATTTCCGAATTTGTGTTCTTGCCTAGACTCTAGAGACCTTAGGTGTGTCACTTGTGATATCTTTGTGAATGCTATGGAATAATGGTTTTTGAAATATCGAGAGCAAATTGGATGAACTGCGAATGGTGAATTAGGGATTATTGTCAAAAAAGTTCGTGCGGTTATTAGCCATTGAAACCGGTGTGTAAGAAGGGCGATCCACCAATGAGCAACACTATTGACATGGTGGCTTTGTCTCCCATCGAGGACTTTCAATTTCAATTGTCCTAAATAATATTTGGCAGGTTGGAAACCCAAGATGAGGTCTGATGGTCTGGTGGGCTGCAACTTGGGATAAGGGAATTTAAGACATTCAGACGAAGCTCTGTAGCTTGTGATGATAGCTCTTGTTCTTCTACCACCTGAACTGGACATTTGCCCAGACAGACAGTTCATCGAGATAAGATCTAGAGAGGTACTATCTTGAACAAGACCATTTTGAAAACAGATTTTGGAGAATTCACACATATGAGTCAGAATTTGCAGCTAAGGTAGTAAGAAATTATATTGGTGTATGGCATCTCAAAACATCGCATGATTTTGATGAGTGATCTGGATGAAAATTGCAAAACTACGAGTATTGGTATGCTTCATTGATTTGAATCCCGAGCATACAGTTCTCAATGATCATCCCGTTTCAACCAAGGGTTACAGGCTGTATGTACCTTTCCCAAAGAGTCCTCCATTTCTACCAACCGCGCGAGGATTTTTGCATCGATCCTGTTTATCATTTGCAGAGTAGCAACGATGAAGAAGTCTGCATAGGTCGCTATCACGTTATCTTTGTTAGCTTCTTTTCATAAATCCAGTATTCCCAATTTAACTTACGTGTCTCTCCCTCAATAAATGGACCACCCTTAGCTTTCAGCAACTTCCCTAATTCGCGAACGACGGGTTCAGCATCTCCCCAACACTCCTCTTTGCCTTCCTTTTCACCATACTCGTATATATCCATACCGACTCTTTCCTTTCGGGTCTCTTCAAAATAGACACGTGAAGCGTCATTCAAGAGCCCCTTAGCAAGAAGAGGCAGCCAGAGTGGACGAATTGAGAGTTGAAGCTTGGGAATCAAATCCTCGACTTGAGAGAGTTCAGGAGTCTCGATTTTTAGAGATGGAGTAGGGTAGCGCTGTTCTAGTAGGGTAGCAATGGTGCTGGAATCTTGAACATAGCCTACTTCTGGGATTTGGATTGTAGGGATTGTGTATTGAATGCCAGAGGTGTTTGGTTGGACATTGCTGTATGGAGAGAGTGATTAATAGCATGGCAGGAAAGAGGTACGGGGCCTACGAACAGAGATTTGAAGGTTGGTTCTATGTCTGGATATTCGATCCATGTTGTCTTGTATGGTATCTCTTTGTAATTTAGAAGTAGACGCGCTGAGATATCAGCTTAGAAGCAAGGCTAGAGATAGGTTGTTTCACGTACTCTTCAACGCATTGTGTGACCAACTTGCACAGTGTTCTTGGCTGGCTAGATCATAGAGAGTGAGTTCCGAGCTGGCCGTTTGAGTACCGGTTTGAGACATGTTTGTGTATGTGGGACTGGGTAATGTCAAGTTTCCTTGGGACTTAAGTTATTGTATGGCTGTTAACGAGAATCATGAATAATCTTTACAATTTGAAGCTTATATACCCCGCATTTTCGAAAGCTATTATGGGAGCTCCGGTTTGTCATATGCAGGGCGCAATCTCACATGAGGGAGTGAAGAATCACTAATACAATCGGAAAGAGCACCGCAAGTGCAAGAACGATTAAATTGTGTGGTAGAGATACTATCGTAGCTCCTTGCTCCTTGACGACAATAGGTATCAAAGTAAAAGATGTAGTGAGATTGATTGGAAGTCTCAGATCACGTGCTAGATCGCGCATTTAAGGTTTAGCGCAATTCTCCCCGCCATCAGTTCTTTTTGGTTTCCACCTGGTGTGTTATCAACTCTATCTTCGTATCAACAATACAAATCTTTATCGTCATCTCCAGATACAAAATTTCTACAAATCTTTCGCCATGGGTTCCGTTGTTCTTCCTCATCTCGTTACTGGCTGGCATGTCGACCAGGCTATCATGTCAGAGGAGGAGAGACTGGTAGTGATCCGCTTCGGACGCGATGTTGATCCAGACTGTATGCGACAGGATGAAGTGCTCTATAGTAAGTGCGATATCTACTTTGCATTCAATATCTCTTGCCAGACTATGAGCTAACGAATCTGAAACAGAGGTTGCTGAATTAGTTAAAAACTTCGCCGTCATCTACGTTTGCGATATCGATCAAGTCCCCGATTTCAAAACTATGTACGAATTATATGATCCAGTCACGACCATGTTCTTTTTTCGAAATAAACATATGATGTGTGATTTTGGAACGGGTAACAATAATAAGCTGAACTGGGTGCTGGAGGATAAGCAGGAGATGATTGATATTATTGAGACAATTTACAAGGGTGCTAAGAAGGGTCGAGGTTTGGTTGTTAGTCCCAAGGGTATGTGACATTTAACTTTCTCAACTCCTGTTTAGAACCAAGGGAGCAAACGCATGAGATTAAGGACGAAGGCTAACTTTGTGGCAGATTACTCGACTAGATACCGATACTGAGATGCTCATTACGACGGTATTGTGGCAAGAATGTTTTTACGTCCTCTGAGTGTGCTCATTCAGTGGGTGTAAAGGAAGGCGTTAATGGTGGATTGATCTGATGGAAGATGGATCCAGAGGAATGTAAAGGGTTGGTCTCACACAATGAATTTTATAATCGTACCTGAAGATGCTAATGCTGCTTAAAGTATGTGAACGTTCCCGATATTAAGTGGTAGGTCGAATTCTCCCATTTTTTGACGGAAAGGATGTTTGGTTATGTTTTGCTATCTTTCCTCGCGACCTTGCAGATATTTGTTTCGTGCAAGATACAACTCGAGTGTCTTTTGAAATCTCCGGATGCTAATGGCGTATATATGCTATTAAGTAGTAGTACTACTACTATGTCATATAGCCCGAGAGAAGAATGTCTTGGTTCATCAAGAACAGACTGCAATGGCGTAACGCAAAAGTGCAAATTTCTACATATTCGACACTTGAGAACAAATTCCATAATTGAGCCCATTCATAAGTTCTCATGTAAGTTAAAATGCTATACAATACGTTGGGTTCGGATGTACAACCGAATATCCGGGGTAAATTTACCATCTTCACCGGAAAAATGATTGAGCGAGTGATATCCGATACCCCTCTTTACTCAGTTCCACATCTTGAGCTTGAACTCCCATGCATCTTTGCATCGGAATTTCAAGGGGGCTACTTCGCTGGAGTTGACCTCCGAGCCTAGCTTCTGCAGTGTTAGCCACATAATTGGATGATTTTTTGCCTCTTAAAATGCGGAGGCACACTTTCCGCTTCGGCTAAAGTGGGAGGCACAATTTTGCTTTTCTGTATCCTTTCTCAGATTACTGCTTTGATTAGCCAAGTGAAAAGGCTCTTATTATATGCTCATGACCCAAGATCCTAGATCTTCTCCAGACGACATGCGTCAATCATCCTGGAAAAAGGTTTGTCCAGCTGTATGCCAAGATTATTTAGAAACCATTGTAAATGATTCTGAGGGGTAAGCAAATTTCCCATTACTTTAATAGAGTCTGGACACTCTCAATTGTGAGTATCGTTCAAGGAAAGCTTTTCAGTCTTCAGGATGAAGTCTTTTTTCACAGCTCTTGTTTCTCTCCTCCCTTTGGCCACTGCCCTTCCCCTAATCTCCTCTGAATCTCCAAATGCACAACCAAAATCACTCTATCCATTCTCCTCTAGCGGAAGTAATGCTAGAGTAGCTGGCCGTCTCTTCAACATCGATGGGAAAGTCCAATACTTTGCAGGCACAAATGCTTGGTGGCTTGCACATCTTTCATCCAACAGCGATGTAGACCTCTCATTCTCACAAATGGCCGCTACGGGCTACAAAATTGTACGAGTATGGGGCTTTGGCGACGCAAATACTCCTCCACCTTCCACCAACACGGATCCAAATCTTGTCTACTTTCAAATTCTCAACTCTACAGGAGCATATATAAATTATGGTGCCGATGGTCTTCAGCGACTAGACTATGTGGTTCATGCAGCTTCTAAGTATGGCCTGAAGCTGGTACTGAACTTTGTTAACAATTGGGGTGATTACGGTGGAATCGCTGCCTATACTAATGCCTTTGGTTGTTCGTCAACATCTTTCTACACCGATGCAACTTGCCAAAAGTTTTATAAGAACTACGTCAAAACAATCGTCACTCGTTACCGCTCTAGCACTGCCATCTTTGCTTGGGAACTCGGTAATGAACCGCGCTGCAATGGTTGCGAAACATCTGTCCTTACCAAATGGGCTACAGATATATCAAGCTACATCAAATCCCTCGATTCAAATCATATGGTTACATTGGGCGATGAGGGATGGTTCGCACCCGCTGATGGAATCGGTGATGGAAGTTATGGGTATGGAGGTGGAGAAGGTATTGATTGGGTCGCGAATTTGAAGATCAAAACATTAGATTATGGAGTATTCCATTTGTATCCAAATAGTTGGGGATACAATTACACATGGGGAAATGAGTGGATTGAACAACATGACAAGGCTGGAAAAGCGGTTGGAAAACCGGTCATCTTGGAAGAGTATGGGACGCCGTTCCCGTATAATCATACGGAGACTGAAGGACCTTGGTATGTTTTTATGTTACCTTTCTATTTAACTCTGAGCTCGAGGACGGGAAATGAATTAAAAGAAAACGGGCTGACAAACTTTTTCTCACAGGCAAGCAACGGTACTTAAATCTGGAATAGCTGCAGATCAGATCTGGCAATTTGGTCCTAATGGAACGAGTGTGCCAGCGGAAGGTTTTGGTGATGTCAATACTATCTATTACAAGACTCCGGAGTATGCTACACTTGGGACGGGTCATGCTAAGGCGATGTTGAAGAAGAAGGTATGATTAGGATACGCTATTGGGGTGGTATGTTATATATATGGTGAGAGTTAATACAACGAAAATTCTTGCTGTGCTGTTGTTTCAACGTGCTGTGGTTTTATGAAGGTCTACTACTGATAGTCCTGTGGGCATTGATAAACTCCGAGAAAACTCTTGTGTCTGAATGTCAGGCAGGCAGAGACCTTAGGCATATTTCTCCTCAGGCAATCCAGTTCCAGTCAAAGAGATGCTCTTGTTGCATATCGCAGCGCCAGGCATGAATATGAGGCATTCTTCTCTTTATAAGCAAAGTAGTCCGAATGTTTGAACCTCAAATGTTTGTACGAAGTTGCATCTAACCCTAAATTAACTTGCAACGATGTCGGACCTTAGGTTTATGTCCATATAAAATCGTTGCTAAAATGAATTGTGTATATTTTTGCAAAATTTCAATGGAAGCTTAATTCGATCAAAATGTGACGGCAGCTTATAGATTTCAAATGGCGGGAAGAGTATATTAGATGGTAGATAATCTTTCTGACAATTTTGAAGAACCTAATAATAGTATATCCTCATCGGTCCCGGTAGTTTCAACCAATTGATGACAAATCCAAGCTGGGTAGGCTCGGCAAGTGCCTATGAGAATCCCGAGCCGAGGTATCTTCATTTCAGTGTTCCCCACAGAATCGCCGTTCTCCCCGGATTCCTTTCAAAAACAATATCAATACTCCTTCTATCTCTCCTTTCTTATTCAATCAATCTTCAAAAGAATTCTATATATCAAAATTCAAAATGGCCGTTGAAAGAATCAGCTCAATTGTTAAGCATATGACTCCTGGCACATCAGGATTGTCTGCAATGTAAGTAAACATTCCAGCCCCTTCATCACTAAACACATGCTTACAACAATGTTGTAAATAGTACCTCGAAAAATGCCGACGATGTTGTCATTACACTTGCAGTTCGCACTCCATTAGCAAAGGGATTCAAGGGAGGATTCAAGGATACAAAGCTTGACTATCTTATCTATGCCCTTCTCCAGAAAGTCAGAGAAAAGTCCAACCTCGATCCAGCTCTTATTGAAGATATCTGCTGTGGAAATGTAAGCAACCTATAGAGATTCCTCTTGCAAAGGCGACGACTAATAATGATATAACAGGTCAGCGATGGCAATGCCGCATACAAACTTCGTGCCGCTGCCTTGGCAGCAGGATTCCCCAATACAGCCGCAGCCTCTATTGTAAACCGATTCTGCTCCTCAGGTCTGAAGGCCACCCAAGATATCGCGAACCAAATTGCTGAAGGTAGCATTGATATTGGTATTGCCATGGGTGCAGAGATGATGTCGATTGGAGGCGACAAACTCGAAGGAAGTTTCCACCCTGATATTCTCAAGTGCCAAGATGCTGCCGATTGTATGCAACCTATGGGACAAACATCTGAGAATGTAGGAAAGGATTTCAACATCACTCGTGAACAACAAGATAAATATGCGGCAGAGAGTTATCAGCGCGCAGAGCGTGCTCAAAAGGCTGGATGGTTCGATGATGAGATCGTACCAATCGTTGCGGAAGTTAAGGACCCAAAGACTGGAGAAGTCAAGAAGGTTACTTTGACAAAAGATGAGGGTCCAAGATATGGAACTACCTTCGAGAGCTTGAGCAAGATCAGACCAGCTTTCCCAGCATATGGTGATAGATCTACTGGTGGAAACTCTAGTCAGATCACTGACGGTGGTACGTAACACATTCCATAAGCCGCTTTACAAGTATGCATGCTAACATATATTCACAGCCGCCGCTGTTATCCTTATGAAGCGTTCCCGTGCCATCGAGCTCGGCCAACCAATTCTCGCCAAATTTGTCGGAGCCACAGTAGCAGGTCTCGCTCCACGTATTATGGGTATCGGTCCTTCCGTTGCCATCCCTAAACTCCTTACCAAATATAACCTCACTATCGACGATTGTGATGTCATCGAGCTTAACGAAGCATTCGCTTCCATGGCCGTATACTGCAAAGATGTCCTTAAGATTCCTCACGAGAAGATGAACATTAGAGGTGGTGCTATTGCACTTGGTCATCCATTGGGTACAACTGGTACTAGACAAATCGTTACCGGATTAAGTGAGTGCAGGAGACAGAAGAAGAAGATTTTGTTGACTAGTATGTGTATTGGTACTGGACAGGGAATGGCAGGTTTGTTTGTTAATGAACAGTTGTAAGATTTATGTGCGATGGGGTGTTGATATCTAATGGTCAAGGTTTCGGTGCATTCATGTAGTATCGTTCTGTTAAATATGAAATCGTTTCTACTTCCAGCTTGTTTGGTTTCAAGATTATGATGTGATGTGAAGGCTTCGCTTATGTGGTACAGTAAACATATGAACTCGTCTAGTCCATTCACTTTCAACGGACTGTTAGGTCCTTCGCCTCGCTTCTCGCATCCCTTCAAACTACCTAGGTACCTCACGCATCTTTTCGTGTTGACTATCGTCCATATCTCAAACACAAAACTACAGCATTCATTCTATCCCGAGCTGATAAAAACATACTAAAAAACTATCTCGTCTTGCTTTTCCCGCCCCTTTCATCATTACCACCTTCCTTCCTCCACATCATTCATTCTACCCCTCGCATCATATCTCATCTCATCTCATCAAGCAAGAGAATAAAAAGGCATACAACAGTGAAGATTCGCTGGTAAAGAGCAAATGGGATGTCAAAAATTTCTCGGTCTAGCATATTTCGTCTTCAACCAGGTTTGCGACATCGAGGCGAATCAAGTGGTTGGTTGGTGGGCTCGGGGATGACGTTTTTATATCGTCACTTTTTGGTCTTTTCTGGATGCAGTTTCCTGCTTCTTGTCTACTGGGAAACTGATACTAGAGTTGAGGATGTCCTGATACTTTGTTTGTAATTGGTATTTCGTTTTGTCTGCCCCTCTACTTGATTTAAATGTGAATCGATGTTCGGAGGGGATTTACGGTGTGATATTAAGGGAATATAGGTTGGGTGTTCGTGATGCAGTTTTCAGTCACCAGCTTGTTAAAAATTCAAGTCGCAGAACACATAAATTGGTCGCATAACTTTTGACCACAATTTGGAATATGGAGTTAAGTAATGAATATAGTCATTGAAGCTTTTTATACAACATCTAGCACTTCACTCATCCTGTCAAATATCCTTGCATGCCACTCTAGACAAACTGCAAGCATCCGTTATTGTTTCCAATTCTCTCATCCAAATTCAGAGTACTGGTGTGCCACGATGGAGCAAGCTCAGCCTCGAGCTCTTGTCCGCCGCGCGCCAATCTTACATTTCGCGCCGACGCACCGAAGTTACCGCCGCCACGGCCGCCGCCGCCAGGAACCTGTAAGTTCTGACCAGGCCAGATTTGGTCGGGGTTGCTAATGTTGTTGTGTCTGGCAAGTTCTTCGTATGAGCAGTGGGAGAAGCGGTCGGCGATGGCTCGGAGTGTGTCACCCTGTTGGACAGTGTATGTCGAGCCGCCGTGGCTGCTGCCGGAAGACCAGCGTAAGCTGCCATTGTCGTTCTCGATGTATTTGTTCAGACTGATAGTGCTAGATTGGTAGGAGCCATCTGTGCGGCGGCACTGAGCGTGCAGATTGTAGTCACCGTGAGTGTCGAGGCGAACGTCGTTGGACGAAGTGGTGAAGTTTCCACCAAAGTCACCTCGAGCACGCTCGTCACCTCGGGAACGGTCACCACCTCGGGAACCTCGGGAACTGCAACTGCTGCTGCGACGGCGGTGATGTTGAGGTGGTGGGCCGCCGTGGTGCTGCTGATTGTATTTTTCGCGCTTCATTCGCTCCTCCTGCTCTTTTTCCCACTTCTTCTTCTCGTCGTGCTCATCCTTCCAGTCACCTACTGCGTCTTGTGTCTTGTGTCCTGCAAATGCACCAGTCAAGGCACCGATGACAGTGCCTGCAACGCCATGGCCTGCTTGACCACCTAGCTTGTGTCCACCATAAGCACCAGCTGCACCTCCGGCGATGCCACCCATGATACCACGGTCACCCTCTGGGTCACCCTCACCGCCATACTGGTTCTGGAAGCCTTGATTGTGCGAGTTGCGTCCTGAGTTCGAAGAGTGCGCTGCTGTACTGGGGTACTTGAATTTGTTAGTCTAGACAACGAAACCCGAGGAATTAACTTACCTGCTGGTATTGAGAAGGGTCCTGGCCATAACCTCCCTGGCCGCCGCCATATGGTTGCTGGCCCATGTGTTGCTGCTGTTGGCCATAGCTGTTGTTCTGACCTTGGTTGTAGTATTCACTAGCCTCGCCCTGGGGCTGTTGGCCATATCCTCCCTGCTGGCCGTAACCACCTTGCTGACCATATCCTCCTTGCTGGCCGTATCCTCCTTGATTGTAAGACATATTGATAGTTAAAGAGTTATGAAGGCGTTAATTAAGGATGTGTGATTTGCAAAATCGCAGTGTATACTTCTCCATGGAGCCATCTCCTTATATACTGTCCCATCTCCCTTCTGTGGGGCTATGATATGCTGTGCCATCATGCATCATTCATGAGTTGTCTGCAACATGCCGACACCGCCACGTTCCGCGCAGCCGACTTTGTGGGGTTGTGCTACAGTCCATCGTCACATTAATCCACCTCAGCCACAACATGGGCCAATAGGGCAGACAGTCTGACTCGGGCTGTCTGAGGGTCTGAAATGCCAGTGGAACGCCAAGGCCGTACCCAATCGAATGAACTGCCGATATTCCGTTTAGCATCCCGGTGAGCCAATCAGAACTGGGAATTTTGAACTATTTTTACTTTTTTCCATTGCACAGGCTACTCTACAGGTCAGGTGATTAGCCACGATGTTTCAATCATTCTTATTGTACCAGTCGATCTAATGACGCCTTCAGAAGAATATCCAAGTATCAAATAACTAATAATTGTCGATGTGATCGATTGATTGAATTGAAAAAGTAAGTTAGGTATGTTGCGAAAACTCTCAATACGTTTGTTGCGTATAGCGTATTCATTTGGTAATTTGGGCTGTACTAAAGTAGGGGTAATAAATTTAAGCTTGAATTAGATTGTTTTTAAATGGGGCAATTCGATTGGAAAATAGACAGAAATAAGGTATTGATGAATAATCCGTCGAATGAACGAATCAAATAGCTCTGGTGTTTTCCGTAGCACTAATCCAGATTCTAGATGAGCCTTATATCTTTGATCCCTGCTTAGTGCAGCCAAATTACCAAATAAATACTATATCTATGTGTCTGTACCCAGACGATAATATAGAATACAAGCCACTTCTCTTCAGTTCTATGGTCGTATGTGGTGGAGATGTGGTTGAAAGGGGTACATATTTGGAGTAAGATTGGAAGCGAAGTGATGGGTGTCCCTGGATATATTCCATGATGTTCTACGAGAGTGTTTATGGGTTGGCTGTACGTCTCGATAGCTTGGTAAAGAAAGACAGCTGTGCTTGCTGCTAGGAGCAATGCGATAGATTCGAGGGATAGAATGTGGAAATCTTGTGTCATCTAGTACAATAACTTCGGACATCTATGATGGATAAGAATGTTCCCGCTATCAGGATTCAGGAGCTTCAAAATTGTGACTCGCCTTATGAAATCTTCCATCGATGTATATCAGTAAGGTTTCCCCTTGCCTTTTCATTCCATGGCTAGGTATCCTTCTTCGCGGAATTTGTTTCAAAATTCGGGACTCCAGACGGTCAACGTCTAGCCTCTGCATCGGAGTTCTCTGATTGCTTGCTTGCATATCTTTTTGTGACGATTAAATCCCTGACTGTGATATTCCACTTTCGCGAAATAGGTACGTAAGCTTTGAATGAATACAAATTTTAACCGAATAGCAAAATGGTCGGTTCAGCTGATAGTTCCAGCAGAAACCACGAAAGACCAGCTTTATGAGTTTATTAGTTCCTGAGACCAGAGGTCTCAGGTAAGTATCAAAATGATACTTCCTGTACTTTGTGGTGTATGTAATCCGACGACAACGACTATTTCATAGTATGCGTGTTGACAGCAGAAAGAACACATCGGAATCACCAAGGCTTGATACGAATCCCAAGACCTGGATTCAGATGCATGACTTTGGTGCCTTTGGGTTATCCTCCCAGCTGGAGAATAATCTAGAGGGAATCAAATCGAAGGTTGCGGATGATCCATGATCCCTCAACAGGCTCGTTCAGACGGCACGTAAGATTCTCGATTGAAAATAAATTGTATCTCATAGAACAATCGAAACTTTCAACTGACTTGCGAGCAATTCAACAAAAACAACGGTAAATATCACAGAAACAGTATGCCTGGAAAAACTGCAAAAGGCACGTCGGCAAAGGATGTTCTCCTCCCTAAAGCTATCTTTTCTCAACCCCTCTCAGCCTACAACATCCCACTCATAAAACTTATACTCTCCATATTCTATCAACAAAAGCACTTTCAGACAACGCGAACCACGAGTTAGCCTCCTATATAAGCTCTCTCGTGTTGAACAAACTCGAACAGACAAAGTGAGAGATGCTGTAGCTCAACTTCTTCGTCTCAATATACCTATCACTAGAGCTGCTGTGAAAGCAGGACCCCATGATGAAGACGTGGATGGAGAGCTTACGGGAGTAGAAGAGGGCACGGATTGTGAAGTTTGTTTGCGAGCTTTATCCCCAGAAAGCTTTCCTCAACAGGATATCGGGACCAAATGCGAACATAAGACACATATGTGTGCGTCATGTCTGGAACAGGCAGTTGTGGCAAACGTAGAGAGCAACTCTTGGGACAATATACCTTGTCCATACTCCAGTTGTGAAAGGATGTTGGAACCAAGTATCGTGAGGAAGTATCTCAAAGAGCAGCCACTTGAGAAGTATAAACCTTCAAGTTACCGGCAGCTGTTTAAGAAGCTAATCTCAAAACAGTTATAACAACTACATCGAAAAGTTGGAGATCCGCAACCTCCCAAACTTTCGATGGTGTTTAAATCCCAAATGTGTTTCTGGCCAAGTCCACAGCGAGGGACCGAAATATTTGAGAGTTATATGTCATGCTTGTAAATCCGAAAGCTGCTTTCTTCATCGGATCCCACGAGTTAAAGGAAAGAAATGCACGGCTTGCGATAATGCTGTTTCTCAACATGAGGGACGCGCAAAAGCACTTAGGATTACGAAACCGTGTCCAAGATGCAAAGTACTGACCATCATGGATCCAATTAATTGTGGCAGGGCACGATGTAAGTACTAAACCCTCTCTGATCTTATGGTGAGCATTCCGTGTGTACTAATACCTTATACTATATAGGCCGTTGTGAATACTACTGGGAAAAATCTAGCGCAGGTCGCTGAGATTAGTTTATTGTACTTCAAACCCGCCTCTTTATGGCTACAAATGAGGAGGAAATGTGATATCCCATCTAATGTCACTTCATTAATTCTTCAGTACCTGTGGAGCAATAAATTGGCTTGAAATCTGGAGTTTCATTGCTAGATATGACTGGGTTCACAATGAAAAGGAAACATCCACCTTGAATGTGTGTTGTACGAGACAAGTGAAGTAGATTTAACTGGTCCCAATGTCCCAATGCGCACGCATGGATTCATTCAATCAGCTTCGGTAGCACTAAGAAACACTTGTTCCCTTTCCCGGGAGACTAACCTTTAGCTTAAAGATCTAGTGCCGAAGTACGCTAAGATCAGTCAACGGCTATCCTTAGCTCCTCCCGAGTGATCATCAATAATGACGTCTAGAACACGGAACTATTTGGAATTGACCCTTAGATCTTTATGATCTCATAGACTGCTAGCAATTGGGCCATTGTCAACAACCTCTCTTCACAATGCAATCGTAAGTCGGCTTCATATTGACATACCATAAACAAACATAAATTATAGAAAATGTCTACCCTCCTCGATACAACTCGCAACTATTCTCTATTCGGTGTAAGAATACCAGCTCCGAATCGATCATTGGTAATTGCTCACATTTGTACAGGTCCCCGCGGCATGGCTCCTGGCTCACATCCCTCATGTGTACGCTGCAGTCTCGACTGAATGCTTCGACAATCGCTCCCCCAGAGACTTCCCAAAGAGTCTCGAAGCTGATCAAAGGCTCGATAAGGCTGCATGTTCCCCTAGCCGACACTTCTCCCTCGTTGAATAGAAGACTAACATCTTCCCAGAAAAAGAACCAAATTAGCCGAGCCCACGCCGCCGGAGCCAATGGCTACGAAAATGTCGGTCTTTTTGCTTCTGCGGTGGTTGCTGGAAATGTCGCAGGACTTTCCCACTCAACATTGAATACCCTTACTGGAGGATATTTAATCAGTCGCGTGGTTTATAATTTCATCTATATAAACAATGAGAGTCAAGGGGCAGCAGCAGCAAGAAGCTTGGTTTGGCTATTCGGAATTGGACAGATTTTTACGTTGTTCATCAAAAGTGGCAACCTCCTCACAAACAAGGCTGCAAACTTGTTGTAAATAGACGAGAAAGCGCATGAATCACATGATGTCGGACTGTACATACTTTATAAGATATCGAAAAATTAACAATAATTGAAAGTCGCCACGGAACCATTCGATGGCTTCGCATGAGCTTGTTTCAGGATCGGGTGAACTCCTTCGAACTTCTCGTCGTCTCTGTTTGAAGAATGAGATTCTTCGAATCAAATTAGAACAAACGGAGAGATGCACTCATTAGAGATTCGCGGTGGAGTTCAAATATCATCACATGATCTGGCTAGCTAAACTATCTTACCTACGGTAGGCATATGTTGATCTACCTCATATCATGGAATAATAACACGCTATCGAATACTTGAGAAAGAGGGTAGAAGGTCTAGATGCTTCATCGGCTTCGCTAACTTTGAGCCGTTCCTGAATATCGTAGGATTCCAAGGTTCCTTTCATTCTCTCCACATTCGGCGGGTCTTCACCCGCGCCGATGAACTATACCATTTACTGACGTCACCATTTTTTATCGAGCGGGCTTGGATAAGGGAAGTTTTGGAAATTCACCGGCAATATACATTGTAGCACTTCAAGATGGATCTCTCAAGTTTACACAAGTACATCAAAGAACGACCATGTCTAACAATACCATACCAACAGTCGAGGGGGGTAAGAGGATAGTAAGTTGCCAATAATCATGTCGCTGAACTGTTGATTGACACTATATAGGTCTTCACAGGAGGTAGTGGCAAAGCAGGGCGCCATGTTATCCCCTATTTACTTTCCAAAGGACATAAGGTCTTAAATCTTGACCTAATTCCATTTCCCGATTCATCTGTTGATGTATATACACTCAAAACGGACCTCACAGATTCAGGGCAAGTTTTCAATGCCTTCACATCCCATTTTAACAAGTCCGGATACAATGAAGGACCAGTGCCCGGTCCTCCAGATGTGGTCATACATTTTGCTGGTACAACCCTCCATCCTCCCTCATCGTCCGTATAATTCTAACCAGCACCAGCCTATGCCCGAAACATGCTTGTACCTGACAGCGAACTCTTTCAGGCCAACACTCGTAGCACATACAACGTCATTGAAGCAGCCAGCAAACTTTGTGTGAAGAAGGTCATAATCGCTAGCTCCGAAACCGTGTATGGAGTATGTTTCGCACAAGGAGATACCGATTATCATTCTTTTCCTCTAGAAGAAGACTATGATGTTGAGCCCGAAGATTCTTATGCTCTATCCAAGATATGTGGCGAGAAGACTGCTCGTACATTTGCGAAACGGTTTAAGTCAGATATATATGCGTTGAGAATTGGTAATGTGATTGAACCGCATGAGTATAAAAGAGACTTTCCAGGTTTCATGGAAGATCCTATGTGTAGGAAACGAAATGCCTGGAGTTATATTGATGCAAGGGATTTGGGTCAAATTTGTGATTTGGCGATCAAGAAAAATGGCCTAGGGTTTCAAGTCTTCAATGCCACAAATGACGGCATCACAATACCTGGGGAAGAAAAGACAGAAGACTTTTTGAAGAGAGTTTGTCCAGGAACGAAGGCTACAAGAAGGTTGGGAGAGAGGGAAGCACCGTTGAGCAATAGAAAGATCAGAGAAATATTGGGATTCAAGGAACTTCATGATTGGCGTAGTTATGTTAATTGAGAGGAGGAAGGAAATACATTTCGGGGGGCTTTTTGTTGATAAGATGGTGAATCAATTATGGCTTTGGAAGTCCCTTCATATAGTACTGTTCAGTATCTCGAATACCCACGCTCTATGTAAAGGTGAAGCCATATTTGTCACGGATCGCACCCAATCACAGCTGCGATCGCTTACGTGCGCGTTTGCGCACGTGTATGATCATATATATATAGCTAGTATATAGGAACACTCTACAAGCGCTTTGCTCCCAATTCTGTAATTATAGATTTTAAGAATAAATTATATTCTGTTTTTGTAGTTTTTTAAAACAAAATATCACATTATCTATAATTTATTATATGATTGTATAGTCATTTGGTGACTGATTAAATAATACCTTATAATTATAATATCTTCTTGGATATATCGAGGATGTTTAATATTATTTATAGAAAAAAAGCTAATTCTAAATAAATCTACTCAACGGAAGATAATAAACCCTTAATATATAAAGTTATAAATATTATTATCATATCCAATTTATTTATTTCAAAAAGACTTTATTACTTTTCCTCTGTCATGGTACGGGTAAAGACTTATATTGTACCATAAGGGTAGAAGAGCTATGGAAGAGTGAAGCCCTATTTATAGGAAATAGGGCGTGCTAGTATTCTGTGCCTGAGATACGAAGGCAACTACAGATCATGTAGTTGGCGCTGTGACAGTACCCCCTGCTCAAGGTGATTGGTCCATAATCGCAATACCAATTAACCTTCTAGAATACAAAATAATATTAAAATACTCTAATTTCTATTATTAAATTAAAATGAACTTTCTTAAGAATAATAATAATCAATTAACAAAGCTTTTTAGATCTGCCTCAGTCTCGATTCGGGGGTGTGCTTGGTGTAAGTACTAACAGAGAATCAGGAGTAGTAGGTTTTTTGAAATCCACCCAAATAGGTGGTTCTGATTTATCTGGATTTGCTAAGTGGAAAGCAATAATTATATCTTTCTAATCACAAAAGTCTTCGGCAGGTTGTCAGGATGCTAGATAATATTTCCATTTGATCTAATAGTGAAATCCATTCTTATTATAACAATCGAATAGTTTATCGAATTCCCACTATTCGGTTTCTTCGTTTGTTTCGTTGTCTCTTTCTAGGATACATCCTTAGTTCCAACGGGATTCAGCATTGTTAATCGTTTCTTGACCAGTTAATCTAGGTAAACGATGGAGTAATCGGAGTAATGAGTTGTGGAATACTGGAAAGATCTTGAAACTAGTAGGAAACTGGAGTAGATAGGCTTGTTTGTAAACTTTGATGATTTTATAGGGACTGTCCCATTTGTTATTGTCTTTCTTCATCAATCGATTGGTCTTCATATTCTTAATACTAACCTATACTCTGTTACCCTCTTTGTACAGAAAAGTATTGATACAAATCTTATTAATATAATCTTTATATTTCTGAATAAACTAAACAATTAGGGCTTTCAATTTTATTAGAATAATATCAAATCGATCTGTAATCTCATTAGCCTTTAGGAACTCATGCCTGTATTGATATAATAAATTCAAAGGAACAGATGAAAAAGGCTCAACACCAAGATATAGATGAAAACTGTAATTAGCAAAGAATGGGGATATACCAGTAATCTCCGAGGTTGTATTATTAAACGCAAACTTTGCGAGCAAAAGCTAATCGTATTAATCGTCTTGATAAAAGTTCATAAAAGCTTGAAGATATTGTTCTATTATAGTATTTATTCTTTCTATTTGTTCATTAGATTCAAAATGGAATAAAAAGGATTGTTTCAAAATAATCGATAGGCGCTCGGATAGGTGTTTCCAAAATTCTGATACAAATTGCAAACCTCTGTTGGATATAATGTTATCGGGTGAGTTGTATAAACAGTAGACTTTCTCAACAAACCGATCGGCAAGCTCTTCTACAGAAAGTCCTACAACCAGAATGAAATGATATATTTTCATTAGGCAGCAAATGACTGTGACGATATATTGATACTTTTTATTATAGTATTTGCTGATTGATAGTAGTATGATGTAATCAATGGAGATGTCAGACCAGGGGCGAAATGGTACAAATAGAGGTTCTAGAAATCCGGATGTGATAAGGCAGGAGGCTTTGATTCGGAAACAGAGTTGACAGGCTTATACATAAGTTTCGATTTCTCTCGATATATTAAGCCACCAGTATATACAGGAAACAAGGTCAATAGTCTTAACTCAACCAAGGTGCCCGGTGGGTTTGGTAGAGTGCGTTCGGTATATGATCTGGGTGTAAAGTTCAGTGAAGAAGGGGACGAAAAGGCAATCGCGATAGAAGATTTTACCATTGATCAATTTACAATCTTGAAAAGCAATTCGAAGGTCTTTTCGGATAGATAGTAGCCAATAGCAAGCGGCTGAATTCCGAAGGGTTTTGTGTATGATAGTAATCAATTCAGATGATTTGTATATTATATCAATGAGATTGTCAATCGGCTTCTCGATATCGGGAATGATTATACCCATAAGGATTACAGTAAGGTTAATGTTATTGTTAACTTATTAAATAAGGTTTTTGAATATAGTATTATCAAACACTTTTTCTGGGAAAACTATCTATAAGCGATTTTTGATCCAATCATCGTTGAAATCGGTGTGAGTAGAGCAATCTTCTGCTTTTCGGTTCAATACATCAGGGTGAACTGCCTTATGGCTAGAACGGTATATAATACGAAAGTTGAAGCCAGATAGGAATTCAATCTATCTAGCTTATCTTTAATTCAATATCTTTATCAATATAAAGTACTCTAGATTCTTATAATTAGTAATAATTTCGAATAGCTTTTGGGTTCCATATAATTCAAGTCTCCATTCTTTTAAAAACTTGATGATAACTAGTAATTCCTTATTGTAAATTTCATAGTTATACTCGACTATACTATATTTCGAGGAGAAGTATACAATTGAGTATAGTCGACCCTTATTGTTATATTGAAAAAGCACTCCGCCCGCAGCCCAGTCTGAAATGTTTATTTCAATAATTGTGCAGCAGTGGTAATCAAACATTGCAAGAATTGAAACGGAGACAAAGGCATGCTTTAGGTTTTCAAAGGTATTCTCTTGATCAGCAATCTAATTCCATATATTCTCTTTTTTCAACAAGCAATTTAAAGGTTTTGTGATTTTAGAAAAATTGTAAATGAAGTGTTGATAGAAGTTGGTGAATTCTAGAAAGTGTTGGAGGTCTTTTAGTTTAATTAACAACTTTTATTTAAGGATAATCTTAACCTTGTCGGGATTCATTTTGATATTATTAGGAGTAATGATTAGGCCGAAATACTTCGTTCTTCTTGTTTCGAATTCGTATTTATCAATATCAATTTGTAATCCAGCATCAATGAGTTTCTAAACGATTTTGCAAACTTGCTTTCGATAATCTATAACATTTTCAGAATAGATCAAGATATTGTTTAGATACACTATACAATTCTTATCCAGGAAATCAAAAAGAATATGATTGATATAGTTTTGAAATAAGACAGGAGTATTGTAAAGGCCGAAAGATATTATTAGAGATTGAATAAGTCGAAACGAATTGTAAAAGCAGTCTTTTATTCATGACCTTCCACAATCCATAATTTATTGAACACAGCGATGATATCTAATTTGATATAAACTTTAGTATAATATAAGACATCAAGGATTTCTTTGATCAGTAGCAATAGATAACAATTTTTAATAGTAATATTATTCAGTTCACAATAATCCTGACAAATTCGAATGCCTCTTTTAGGCTTTGCAGTTAAGAGGAGTGGGATAGCCGATTGAGAGCGGGATTTGCAAATAAATCCTTTATTTAGGTTATCATCAAGCCATTTGTAAACGACTTGAAGCTTAACTAAAGACATTGGGCAACCTTTGTTATACAGAGACTCTTTGCCTAATATAATCTCGATTTTGTGATCCCAAGAGTATCATAGCGGGAGCTTATTGGTGAGGGAGGGTAAAAAACCCAGTGAACAGATTGCAAAGCCAGGATAGTAGTTTACTCTGAATCTCTGTTGTAGATGGTACAAATCGGTCAATCTTTTCCATAAACTTCTTGATATCGCTTTCCATGATATTACAATATAGTTGAATAGGATTGTTTGTTATTATATGGTATAACTCGCAAACTCTATCTAATTCATCCCAGATTACTTTTGTAATATAAGCTTTTTGATCTTTATAGAATTGAATAAAGCTATTAGCTGTAAGGAACTTTATATCGTTTATTTTCTGTTGGATATTTTGTAAGGTGTCAGTCGGTTCCTCAGAGAGCTTTTGTAGCGATAGGGGGTTCAATGGGGGTAAAACGTTTTGGTTTCGTAACAGTCTTTTGTATATCCTAGAGCCTGCAATAATCCACACTGGGGCCGGTTTCAGGATCGGCCGGTTTGATATCATTTTGATACGGGTCTCTGTTTTTCCGTTGATTCGATGAGTGTAATGGCAGTTTGAGTCGGGTGGCATTGGATCAGCAGAATCTATATTATAGAGGTTTCTATCAGTATTCTTCTCTACAGCTGGAGTCGGAGGATTATATTCCAAAAGTATCGACTAGTCTTGGAATGAAAAGGAAAAAGTCTGGAGACTTTCGTCGATAACTTTTTCAGCAAAGACACAATATAGGGTTGAGATAGATTTCTTTGAAATAGATTTCAAAATAGACTTCCTAACGGGTATACATGGTATTGGATTGAGCGCTGTGTCTATTAGGGTCAGCACATCGTTACGATCGGGGACGACAATTGCAGCAGAGTTAACTGGGCAGCAATATCTAGAGCAATATATGGACGTGAACTTAAGAGTCATTGTTACCCAATTAATGGTAGGGTTATAGCACTGAAGCCATAGAAGACCAAGGATCATAGGGTTTGTATTGAAAAGATTAGTAATATAGAATAAGCTAATTTCTTTATGATTGTTAATTCATAGATCTAACAATATATATTGAAATAGAATATCAGAAGTCCTTCCATCTACAAATAACAGATTGCGGGTAATAGGGAGGGGATATGTAGGGATATCAAGCTTGGATATAAGGGTTCTATCTATAAACCCATATCCCACGGCTCCATTATCTATTAAATCAATAAGTAGGATAATCATATTAAATGCAAGGAAAATTTCCGTTGAGATTTTAAGAGATTTGCTATTCATTATTCTAAGATACAAAGGATCCCTAGACATAATCGATCTCTTAATCCACAAAGGCAAACTTTCCACAAAGAACCTCGATTCACAACTATGA